ATATATTTAAAAAAGAAATCAAAATTGTAGTATTTTTTGTGTGCCATAGAACTTTAGTAATTGGTTTATATGTGCCACAAGAAAAAGATTGAAAATTGCTGCCATATACTATACTATTTATCATTTGCACTATTAGATTTTATGAGAATTTTAATTGCAACAATAGTATATGATTTTTTGCAAATGATTGACTTCATCTTAAATATATGTCACTACGTACTTTGCAACTTCAATTTAGAGGAATATTAAAACAATAGGAGGTAGCTCCTAGAAGAGAGTAAGGATGTTCTTAATACTACTTTTAAAAATCATGATTCAAAATGTCTAACACTTAGCTCCCATTGTTTGAGGTTTACAGTTATATTGGCTGAAATTTATACAAGAAAATTTTTCATTGAGTAATCGATCCCTACAATGTAAGAGATTTGGCTGGTTGCTATTTGGCAGGGGAAGGCAGGCTTACTTCACTGTTTTGAAACACAATAACATACTTTGTTCACAAAGCAAGAATTTGTTTTCAATGTGGCATTAATTAAAAGGATATAATTGTATTTATTTTTCTAGAGCTTCATTCCTTGCTTCATTTTCTATTCTTATCCTTGTTTACTTCATTTCTTCTATTTCTAAATTATATTTTCTTGTTGCATTCCATACATCTCTGTGAGTCACCCTAAGTTCTTCCTGGAACAAGATGAGGGTAAAGAAATGTCCTGTGAGTCACGCACAATGTAAGATGCGCACGGAGTCTTTATGTTAATGGGATTTACCATCCGGCGGGAGCGATCTAACAGGTATCACTTCATGTCATTCACGGACTTCCAAAAGCTCTCTGACTAGAATGTCTCAATATAAAAAAGTTAGCTAGTAGGCCCCCAAACACATCAAGGTCCTTACGTACATGTGATTAAGAATCTTGAGATGGGGAGATGATCTTGGGTTACCCATGGGGGGCTCTCAAGGGAATCACAAGTGTTCTTACGAACTGGGGGCAGAGGGACACCTGAAACAGAGCAGAGGAGGCAACGGGGCCGCGGAGACAGACACTGGAGCGATGCCGCCAGTGCACAGGCCGACAGCCACCAGACGCTGCAACAGGCAAGACGCGGGTTCTTCGCGCGTCTGGAGGAAGTGACGGCCCACTGACACCCTGACTTCGGTGCAGGGATAGTGGTTTTTTATTTCTAGCTCCAGAACGGTGAGAAAATGCATTTCTGTTGTTTTAAGCCACCAAATACATAGCAATTTTTTACAGCAGTCATAGAAAATTAAAGCAGCTATTAATCTGAATGTAAACTAGGATTAAGTGGAGAGAAAAAATTTCTTTTAACATTAAAGACATTGGGAGAGACAAAAACAAAGTTATTACCTAGAAAAATAAACTATTGTAAGGCAGTTTAAAAAGATCAGGGACTTGTTATTTTAAAGGACTACCACATGCTTCAGGAAAATGCTACGTTCTTCACCAAATTCCCTCTCTAATGTATCCTTCTATCACAGCAAAATTCTCTAGTACCAGGAAGGCAACCCGGACTCCTGGCATTGGGTGGGCCCCCATTTCACACTCTTCTCCAGCCCTTTCTCACCAAGTCACTTGGCTCATAGTCCCGCTTCTGAATTTTTTGTTCTACCAGCCTCCCAGGATGTGTCCTTGTTTTGCTGAAAGTAATCTTTTCTTTTACAAAGTCGAAGGACATATTTGCAGAATTTCGCTTATGGAAATGTTTCTAGGACTGGCTGCTGCATTTATTGAACTAAACAAGTATTTGCAAATGGAGTCCACAGCACCTGGCTGGTTCCTGCAAAGTGCAGGGCACATGGCTGCAGCTGCGTAATTAAGCTCACTCATCTTTGTTCTCTCTAGATCAAGAGTAAGAAAGATAAGCCATTACCACTCTAGACAGTTCTAAAATAAGCTGCGCTGATGATACAAACTTGCACAAGACTCTCTTAGAATCTAAGAGTCAGTCTCATGCAACCAGAAAAATATGCCATCTTTCATTAAAGATGAAAGAAGATTTCATCTTTAAAGTAAACTATAAATATTTTGTGAATAGTTTCATTTTTAAAAAACTTAGATGAAGACAATGAGGGAGGAGGGTTGAATGTGGGAGATGGGGGTGGGTAGGGCAGCGGGGAATAATGGGGGGGTGGGAACAACTGTAATTGAACAATAAAAAAGGCATTAGTTGGAAGGCGAATGGAGAATTAAGCCTAAGCCTGTGCAATCATTAAAATATAACAAAAACAAAAAATAGCACTTTTTTCTATAATTAATAAAAATGATTTGCACCCAGGAAAGTATGTCAAGGGTCAGGAGGCTTTTAATCATCAGAAACCACTGCCTTTTTCTACCTAAATTAAAAAAGAGAAATAAAGCAAAAGTTCTGACTCTAAAACTATGAAAAGTTTGATGTGGATGAAATGCGTTTTGAAATCTGATATACAAAGCATGTTGCTCCACCCACTACAGCGAGACCACAGCGACGGTCTCTGTCCTGCAACACTGCGAGTCCTTCAGGTGCTCTGGGCCGCGGTCTCCTAACCTGCAAACCCAGGGGGCTCATCTGGCAAGAGCTGCAAAGGGCCTTCCAGCTTTAAAATCCCACCCTCAATTTTACACCACCTTCCAACTACAACAAAAAAGAGACAGTATTCTTCCCCATAAAGCATGTAATAAAAACTGTTTTATTTAACACAAAAAACCTTAAATGATTTTAAAAATGGGCATTAAAATAAAAAACTTAAGGTACTGAGAAAGTAAAGATTTCAGAGGCAAATATCTATCTGGTTGTAGAAGTATAAAGTGGGCATCAGCTCTGACAACAGCCTCCTTCATTCCCAATCAAAGTAAGGTTGATTTTCTTCCGAAATGTTTCTACATCCTGTTCGCTTTTCTCCTCGTGGCTGACCACCACCCTATCCAGGTCTCTCGATGACTATTCTAGTTGCCTTTTAACTTGTCATCCCAACCACTCAGGTTCCACCCACTCATGAGGGAAGGGGAAGAGTGGCAGAGAGGCCGGGGAGGAGAGGCGGGGACCCAGGTTTCATCTATCCTGGAAAAGGGGTAGGCTTCCAGCAGTATGGGGCCCCCAAGCGCTAGCTCTGCTACTCATTACCTACTTTGTGTACAAGGAATTTCTTTACATCCTGTGTCTATGTTCTCTCTATAAAATGGGAATGAGAACACTGTCTGCCTCATGGGACTACTGTGCAGAAGAAACGAGTCAACATGTGCAAAGCACAAAAGACAGAAACAGGTGCACAGTAAACAAACCTCACTATTTTTATCATCACCTACAGACCTACAATTTTTCAGGCTCACCCTGCACTACAAGGCCCCCTTTTCATATCATAATCACAGCTGCTATTTCACATTTTATCAAATAACTCTCAAATTAATGTCTGTCTCTTCCTCTACTGCTTCCGCTTCAGGAAGCAGGAATCATATGTTTGCTTCTCCTACCACAGTGTTTGGCAAAGAAAAGCACTAGAATGTTTGTTAAGTAAATCTCTCGAGTAAGGCGAACCATGACACCTGAGTTTCCAATCTGCAGTTTCAGATGTCTTCAGAATTAGTTTTTCTCTAACTCGCTAAGTAACGGAATGACCTGGAAAGCTATCAGACATACCCATGCCCGGACCCCAGAGATGCCAGCTTGATTGCTCTGCGATTAGCCGCAGCCAGTATTGAAAACTCTCCAAATAATTCTAATTTGCAAGTCAGGTTGGAAAGCCCCAGTGCTGTTCCCATCTGCTTCAATTCGGGAGAGAAGGCTTCTCAGCCCATCTCCGCTTTTGAATTTGACCAACCTCAGAGGGGTTGAATTGTTTCTTATTTATATAATGGGCAGCTTTATGGGCAGGACCTTGGCTCACGGAACAAACAAGGATGGTTCGCATTGTTCAGACAGTTGTGATCCTGGCGGCAAACCTGTTGGATGGCTCCAGGCCCCTGCACCCCCCAAACCGCTCACATTCGGTACGCTTCTGGCCCTGAAAGTGAGAGCATAGGAACCTCCTCTTCTCTTATTTACCTTAAAAGTCACCGCAGAGTTCCTTACACTGTGTAAGAAACGTGTGGTGTTTGTTTTTACAGGCTGAAGAAAGCAGAACTCAACCCACCCCTTCCCGGAGTCGTTCCCGAGGTGGACGCCAGAGTCAGCGTTCTTCCTCCCAGTCTCGTGCTTCACATTCTCCCATCTCTGCTCCTTCCCACAGTCCGTTTACTCCTGTTCCTGCAGGGCTCCATCGGGCTTCCCTAACCCCGTCCCAGTGTGATCCCAGATATAAGGATGCCCTCCGAGAAGCCACCGCAGGCTCCTCCAGCTGGCGGCCCCGGGACTGGGGAGCTGGGAGACTGGACCACGGCCGGCCGGGCGCCCGTGCATCTGGGGAGGCACAGGGTGCTCCTGGACCGCGGGAAACCGGGACACAACGGGTTGGTCAGCTGCAGATCGGCGGGCGGGCAACGCTTTCCTCGCCTGGGAAGGCCGGTCCCTGCGCGGCCAGCCTCTCCTGTATCCGGGAGACCTGGGTCTCCCCGGAACCACCACATCTGGGCGCCCCGCGCCCAGCCCATTACTTGGGAAGCGCAGGACGCAAGCCCACCGCTCAGGGAGAGAGAAGTCGCTCTCCCTCCCCCACTCCCCGCGGGAAAAAGAACAAAACGCGGATCCCTAAGCCGGCACAACAGGTCCTTTGGGCACTTGAGAGGTTCAGGAGCGGGGGTGGCGACGAACGGGGAAAAGAGACGAGAGTATTCCGTGGGCGTATTTCCCACGGAGGAATCTCTCCACTTAATGTCTCCTTGGTCTCCAGCCCCAGAGCAAACCCTGAGGTTGGGGAGCAGGAACCATCCCGCGGGCGTGGGTAGGAGCAGAGTTGCAGACCTGTGAAGATGGCACCGGTCCGCTCTGTCCGAGAAGTTAGGTGATGCAAGAAAAGCGCCTTGATGCGCGCGGCGGGGCTGGCCCTCGGGGCGGCCGGCGACCACTCACCTTGTGCCTGCGCCTCCATGGTGGCCGACTTCGGGCTGAGGTTGGCAGGAGCGCGCTCTCAGAGATTCAGACAGCAGTGCCCGAGGTCAGAACGCAGCTGGCCCAGCTGCTGGCGCCCTCTCTCTGCACGCGCGTCCTGAGCTCTGAAGGCTGGGGAAGAGCCTCGGGCAGCAGCTTCTGGTTACCTCGGCTCCCAGTCCACCTGGCCTAGACCGCCTTGGGGGGTAAAAAAAAAAAAAAAAAAAAAAAGGCCACCGGTGGGCGCCACCTGCCGACCACTCTGCGCATTGGGTGGAGGGCGCCCCCTCCTGGCTCAGGCCCCGTGCTCAGGCCAAATAAATGCCTCGCGGAGCTGGAGTAGGCCCTGAACTCGGTTGTACCAAGGCAAATACCGTGGGAGAGAGGAAAGAGGGAGGATTTACAAAACTAAGCAAGTATTGCTTCTGGGGGAAAACTGTTCGGTTTTTGTTACCCTCTGTAGTCAACCTTTTTATCAACTAACCAATATGTAACCTTGTTTTCTGTGAGTTTCTGTTTAAAGATATGTTAACATATATTGTTGGTTAACTCATTAACCTTTTCAACGTGTGTATTTTGTCCCTAGGACGCTAGACAGCAGTTCAGCACTGTGCTGGGGGCCATTTTAAATAGCAACGCCCAGCCCTCCCCGCCACCAAGTGCACAAAAAAAACGGTTTAATTGTAGTCTGTGGAGAGGGTACTTGTTTACAGTATGAAAGCTGAAATAAGAAGGTAGAGTTCAGCCTTGTTTAACCTCAGCTGGGAATGTGTACGACTGTCCACCCAAATTTTTCACAGCTCTGCCAATGTCTGGGGATGGCCATGAAAGTGCTATATTGATTTTGGTGTCGTAAATAAATTTTAGTGATGAGGCAAGTTCACAAATATGGAACTTCCAAATAAATCAACTGTGTATATGTTTTCTAATTCAAATACCTGCCCTGGCCAGTGTGGCTCCGTTGGTTGGAGCATTGTCCCCTACCTGAAAGGTCCCTAGTTCCTTTCTGTCAGGGCACATACCTAGGTTGTGGGTTCAATCCCTGGTCGGGGCACATGTGGGAGGCAATTGATCAATGTTTCTCTCTCACACTGCTGTTTTTCTCCCCCTCTGTCTCACTTCCTCTCTTTCTAAAATCAATAAATATATTTTAAAAAACCATAGGCCATGTCTGTAGGTTGATAGAGCAGTCACATTTTCAAGAAAAAACTAGAAATGTACAGTTCTATTCCAAGCCTAGCCTGGCAATTGGACTAGAAAGCATAGCAGGGACTAAGAAACATCAGCTCACGTCTCCCCTGCTCGGACCCTTAGCTGTTACAGACCTCCCCCTTTTCCTCCCACCAACACGATCTGCATCTAGAAAAGGAAATGTAGTGTTTATTTGCACTTGGTCTTGGTTTTCTACTTTTTTCCGTTTTCTTTTTTTTTTCTTCAACTAGATGGTAAAGTCTGTCAGGGTCAAATGTCAGTCCCATATTGAGCCCCCAAAGTTCCTACCAAAGAGCCTTATACAAACTCATAGCTCAAAAAAAAGATTTAGTGAATAAACAACTAATGGACCAATAGGTTCTATTTTATCCCTGCCCAAGTTATTTCAAAGTATAGACTTAATAAACACAATGTACTTTTAAATTTTTGCTTGAGAGAAGGAACACTCATGAGTTCCTGGCACATGCAAAACCATATCAGTGTTTTTTGGTTATGTTCAAGATATCCTTGATCTGTAGTCACTGACATTAAAATTGCTCTTTAGAACACCAAGCATAAGACTTTTTAAATGGCTTTTTGTGATACTGACCATGGATGCACCAAGTGGTAAGTCAGAATCAGTGCTTTTAAAAAACACAATCAGTGATTAAATCAGTTTTAGATTCTGTTCAGTGGTTCTGGTGCTCTCCACCCTGGAAATTAAACACCAGGTTAGGCTTGACTCCCAGCTGTTAAAAGAAGTTAAAAATAGTCAATGACTTTCCAGTTTGAGTCATTTAACCTTCACCTAAACTCTGATTCATTTTTCTGATTCATAAAATTTTGAGGTACTACCCCTTTAATATAATTGTTTATAATAATAAAATATTGATATTCATTAGAAATACTTATTGAATATTCTCTGTGCCAGGGACTGTGGTAGATGTAAGGATACAAGTGAAAGCCCTGTTCCTTTTTACACAGGGAGATCACCGTCTGGGGAGAAGGAGGGATAAACAGATGCTTTATAAAGCCATGCAATATGATCAGTGCTGTGCTGGAGGTGAGCCCAGGGTGCACGTCAGCAGTGAGGGAGGTCTCCTAACTCAGACTGCTGGAGAGATCAAGGAACACTTCTTTAAAGATGTTTGACTCAGCTGAGTCCTGAAAGATGAAGGAGTCAACCGTGTATGTTGTGTGAGCCCCCAAATAATGGTTTAGTCAGGGAAGACTATTGTGATGTCTCTTTTCTCCTTTACACTGAGGGTGGTGAATTTTCTCAACTTCCTTAAAGCTTACTGAACAGTTATCTACCTTCTTTTGTTCTTCATCTTTGCAGCTACTTCACAGGGGAAAAAGGGGGTAAGTGTTTTTAGTCTATGCGGTAACATTCAGTCCTGCAGAATTGATCTTCTGCAGAGGTGGGGATGCGGCAGAAATCATAAATGTCCAAAGTGTAATGTCCATCAGTTCTTGTCTAACCAAGTTCGAGGTCATTTGTAACATAACACACTGAAGGTGCCCTTGGGAGATAGGCGGGGCACAGACATGAGAGGAAGCAGTAGGAAAGGACAAATGAAGTATGTAGCTCTGGCTCACAAACATTATAAACACTGGAGGAGAACATGGACTTTGGGGCCCATTACATTCTTACACTGAAAATGACTGTGTAACCTAAAGCAAGTTTCTTCGTCTTTCCATGCCTGGGCTTCTGTATTTTGTGGCTAGAAGAGGTGTTAATGGATGGATGGGTTCTTTCCCTCCCGGCCCACGGGGTGCCGGGCTTTCTAGGGAAGGTGGTCCCCAGCCCTTTCCTGCATCAACAGCACCCAAGGGGCTTTAAAAGTTTTCTGATACTTGCCCCAGTCTCCAGATATTATGATTTGCTTTTTTTTTTAATCAAGAAAGTTTCCACCCAGGTAAACAGAAAATAAGGAAAAGAAATATGAGCAGTAGGAGCAAGGGCTTCCCATGCCCCCACCCCACCCCTGCTTCCAGGGGAGTTGGGGAAGGAAGAGAAGTTCGAAAGGGAGCTTCGTGTGTGCCTGCCTGTGTCTCTCACCCTTTCCTCTCCCCTGCTCTTCAGAGCAGAGAGGTCCTGACTGCAACAGCCCCATCAGCAACTCTGATAGCCAGATTGCTTTGAGGACTGTTAGGAGAGAATGACTGTAACTTTGTATTTCTCACACTTTTAAGTGGTGTAGGAAAACATCTAGATGTTTCCTTGAGCCCCATGTGGGCTCATGTGAAGTTGGGAGAGAACCAGCTAGTGAACCATCATTTGCAGGAGGCTGCAGAGAGACCAGGGAAGGAAGGGGTGCAGCAGAGTCCCTCAAGAAGTTAAGAGGGGCTGAATGAAGGGAGTCCAGCTATTTCCTGTGGAGACCTCTGCCTGGCCAGCTGGCCTGCTGGTACCAACCACATCATGCTACAGAGCAGGGGGAAAGGTAGTGGGGAGAATTTGGTGAGGTGTTGCTCCAATAGGAGACCCAAACTGCCTTTCCCCGACCCTCACAAACTCCTCAGTCCTCAGGGGAACTTAGAGCATGTCTCCTGCTCAAGCCCACCAGCCAGAGGGATGGCCGTGGAGGCCAGAGGAGATTAGTGGGCTACAGTCTTGCCAGGACCACTGAGGTAGAGAGTCAAGAGGTGAACATCAGATGATTGTAGCCTGAAGTTGTAGGGTGCAGAACGAGTCATTCCAAAACGTCTCTGTGTTATGTGGATTATTTTGAGCCGAAGGCAACAGAGTCCCTGCAGGCTCAAGAGAAACTTCTACCCCCCACTCTCCAACTACTTAGAATTTTAGCTAAGGGGTTTACCCATAATAAGAATCACCAGAAATAACCTCTTTTGACATATCCATGTGGTGGAAAAATATTATTAATTACTGAACATTGTCTCTTTTTGTTACCCTGAAATGAAACTCTAGGGTCCCAAGGTGCCTTACCTCATCCTTAGCTCAGAATGTCATATATACCAAATGTCCCTTTTTGTCTCTGAACCTCTTATAGATGCAGGGTCTCTGACTCTGTCATGCATGTGGGGTTCTTGTGTGTACAAATTAAATTTTATTTTCTCTTGTCAGTCTGTTTCATGTTGATTTGATTATTCAGTCTGTTATGAGAACCAGAGGAAGGAAGAGGAAATTTCCCCTTCTCCACAAGGCCATTATCTAGGGTCCACCAGGATTTAGGGGCTCCTGAATGTCTGTCAACCTCATCCAGTTAAATAGGAAGTCATTTGGTCTCATCTCTTCCTCTCAACTCCCACCCCATACTCCACAAAGAGGGGCTGGTGCCTAGAAGAGAGGGACAAAAAAATCGTGTTAGTTTTTCCTTTGTAATTTTCCAACACACATGCACAAGCATGCACACCCACATGTGGAGGGAGAGAGAGATGGAGAGAGAGCTGGAAGGGGGACGTAGAGAAAGAAAGAGAGGGAGATTTTCTAAGCAGTGCTGAGGGAGGGGAGGAAAGATTTACTCTGAGGCTGAGACAAGACTGGATCACATTCCAGTACAAGACTGCTGTACTAACCAGAAACTAACTAAACTCAGTGAAGCCAATCAGCTGTCTGCAAAAGAGCCATTTTCAAGCCAGTTGGAGGAACACATATTTTATATTTATCACTCAAAACTTGTGACTTCTCAATAAATTGGTTACACTGTATGAAATCCTTTACAGAAAACCTAGTGTACACATTTTGTTTTTTCCAAGTTCTTCAAGTATTTCTACACATATTTCCTGGATCCATCAAGTATGCATAAAAATTGAAATTATTTAGAGGATGAGGGTCCCTTTTTGCTCATTATAAAGAGACATATTTAAATGAACCTTGACATTCCTATGTACATGAGTGTTAATGCTTACTCCTTTATACTGTAAAACTCTAAAATATAAAATCACGTTTAAAGACTAATCTTTTTCCATGCAATATATATATTTATATTTTAAAAAAGTTTTTTAAAGCTGTTTATTACTTTTTTTAAAAGACTGTT